CTTGAATTTCCCTGCCTGGCTTACTTCACTTAGCAGAATGCCCTCAAGTCCCTCCATGTTGTCACAAAGGGCAGGATTTCCTCTTTTTTATGGCTGATAATATTCCATTGTGTATATGTACTGCTTCTTCCTTATCCATTCATCTGTTGATAGATGCTTAGGTTGTTTCAGTGGCCTTTGTGGAATAACGTCTGTTGTGAGTATTCACCTTGGTGGACAGCGGGCGGTTGTGAGTAGTGCCCGTGAGCAGGGGCAGAGACACCCTTTTTGAGATGGTGCTTTCCTTTCCTTTGGATATGCTTCCAGAAGTGGGACTCCAGCAGCCTGTGGTTTGCTGCCGCCTTATACTTCCCATTCGCTCCTCACCCCTGAAGTTCAGGCATCCCTGGAGATGGCCCTGACCCTCTCACCATGACAGTCTGATTGGGGTGCCCCGGGCTTCCATCTTCCGTGACTGCTCTGCACCATTTGACTGTCTGTGTTCATTCCTGACCTTCCTTACTGGTTCCCAGGGTGCCCTTTCTCTTTGGCGTTCCCTCTCCTTTAGGTAGTTCTCTGTGTCCTGTTTCTCCCCCTTGTCTGATCCTCCTTACTCTCTCCAGGGGAACATCACCCACCACAGATTTTCTGATAACCCTGAAGCTGCATTCCCAGGCCTCCTTTTCTGAGCTCCTGACATCAGCATGTCACTGCCACGCATTCTGCTGGCCCCACAGCAGGCCTGTGGCCTGGTGTGTTCAGGTGCCCCATTCCCAGGTGTGCGCCGCCCCTCACTCTCTGCCATCACCCCACCCCAGTTTCACTTGGTCCATCTCCAGGTTTCCCTGACCATTCATCTCTCTCCTCCTTCTGTTCTACTGCCCTGGGATTTCGTGCTGCTTGTCTTGCAGGCATTCGGCTGGGCCTCCCCGTGCTCACTGGTCCACTGTGCTGTCTGGACCCGCACTGGAATTCCCCTCATGGTGACTCCCACCATTCATCTTTCAACAAGGCCAGAGATCTTGGTGTCCTTCCGATTCCTCCCGTCGTTTCTCTTGTGACCCACAGCTAGGTCACCAAGACTATGGAACTGCTTGGCATGGTCCCCGGTCCCCGACTCTGTGTCTTCAACCACCATTTCTCTTTTCCAGGCCATGGTCACTGCTGCCCTAGCCCCTTCCCTCATTGCTGTGTCTCCATCCTCACTGTCTCCTGGCCATCCTCCATGCTGCTGCTAGATCCCACCATGCAGATGCACCATCTCCTACAGCACATGCACCCTCTTGCCTGTAGGATCAAGGACCCGTTGCTGTGAATGGTACACACAGCCTCTGCCGTGTGTTCTTGCCATGTTCCTCACCTGCCTCTCAACCACCTCACTTTCAGACTACACCAAATCACAAGGGCTGCTTTTCATGCATGTGTTGTCTGCACTCACTGTGTTCTGCCTGGAAGGCTCTCCACCTTGTCCTCCTGGGAAAACCCCCCTCACCATGTCAGATTCAGCTCATTGCTCCCTCTCTGTGGTGAGGAGAGCGGCCAAGGCTTGCGTGGGCTCAGGCGCATCTGTCAGTGTTCTGGATGCTCTGCATGGGTCAGTCTGCTGAGTCTGCTGTGGCACCTGGAGGGTAGGCACCATCCTTACCACTCCCACTTTGCAGTTGGGAAAGGAGGTGCAGGGATGTTCAGGATCTTGCTTAGAGTCACCAAGCTAGCAGCTGGCAGCTGGGATGTGAAGGCCCCAGTCTCACTCTAGACTTTGGGCTTTTAACCACGGAGCAGCCCGGCTGGGTCACAGGGCTGCTTCCTCCGTGTTGTTGCCGCCCCACCTGACTCATCCACCCCGTCTCACGGTATTTACGTCTTCTGAGCACGTAGTGCGCCCCTGTGGGCAGACCTGTCTTTAAGTCATGTGCATATACATGGGAGCCCGACTCGCCCTTTCCTTATCCTCATCATCCTGGGGAGCACCTGGCGTGTGGTACATGCTGCTCAAATGTTGTTTTGAAAGATGAAATGGAGAAATGGATGAGTAGCGAAAACATGTTGTAAGGTGTAAAGCAGGGCTCAGCCAGGTGTAGGCCTGTTTTTGCACTGCCCACAAGCTAGGAATGGTGTTCACAGGGGAATGTTTGCATCTGATATGATGACAGGGAACAGTAACTCTAAACCGCAAGTAAGTGAAATGTCCCTCTCACAGGCATTCTGTCCTAAGCAGATCTGTGTTAGAGTCAGTTGTCACTGTCTGTTGAATTTTGTCAATAAAAATATGAAGACATTTGTGTGCTCTCTTGTTATATACTTACCTACATGATATCCTCAGTTTTGCCTCTCAGCCAGCAAACCCTAAATTATTTACTCTTGGGCCTTCAACTAGGAAGTTTGCTGACCCCTCCTCAAGGGGTTTAATGACAGTGTTGCGGTCATTGTTCTCAAGAATTACATATCAAGTGTTATGAGGGGGTATTAAAAATGTAGAAAGTTTTGTCTGATTAATTGGGGTACAGTTCTTGAAGCAGTAAGTATAAACAAATGTTCTTTTCCCTTTTCCTGTTCCTAAGCCTAATTTGGGGTAATGTGGTTAGTTGATTTGAGGCTAGGTGACTGGAAAAATATGGCCCAGAGTGTCTGGCTTTATTAGGTTATACTGGGGGGTAGTCAGCAGTGTTTAGGACAGATTGTATAAAACTTAAGTTGGAGACTGAATCTGTGTCACGTTGTGAGGTCCCCAAATTCCTGATGACAGTGACCTGGGCTGCAGGATATCTAATCTGTTATTCATGATGTATTGGAGAAAGGCAAAACTCAGCAGGAGTCATAAGCCGTCCTTTCTACACATTAAAAAGAAAGGACTATTTATAGGCTTGTGTCTATGTATATAGTTTTGCTGCTGGTCTTGGATCTTGAAGGTCTTTAAAATTTATATTCGGAGTGTTTTCGTGTTCATTTTTCATTTTATTAAAAAGAAACTATAAATAAAACTAAGCAGTGCCATCGTTTTTCAGTAGCTCTAATGGCTTTGTGACAGGAGGAAGGTTCCCATAGTGGGATGTTTGATTTTTCCCTTCCTCGGACGCTGTCAGGCTAGATCATTTAGAAATATAAATAAATCTGTGCTGAAAGAAAAGCTTTTGAGTCCAAGTTAAAAAGCATGTGCATGAGATCATGTGAAACCTTAGTAACTTCTGGAAGCTATTTGAAATCACAGATATTCCTTTGTCTTTACATTGTTTTTCTTACATTCACAATCTCTGCCCCAAACTCCAGTGTAGCCTCCAGAACAATTGTCGAAGTCAGAGAGCCCGTGTTTTGATTCCATCAGGCTTCAAATTTACCTGGAATTAAAACCTGCATTTCTTAGATTCTTATTAATTTAGAGCCAGTTGTACAGTTATGATAATTGGAATATTTTAGGCTGGGAAGGGGCCAACCACTTGCTTGTTTTTTCAGAAAGAAAGTGAGGCTAGGAGAGAGATTATGAAATACACTCATGGTCATACACCTGGGTAGCGGCAGAGCAGAGACAAGAACCAGGACAAGACCCACATATTAAAATTTCTTAGTGATTTTTTTTCCTTTTGTAAGTTTTCAGGGATGCAATCACCCAGAAACTTGAGTGGGAAGAAATAATAAAAGTCTAAGTCTTATTTTTCAAATTAAGTCATTATGATTTAAATTGTTTCCAATTCTGTAGGAGCTTAATATTAAGCCAATGGTTTTAGGATAAAAATAACAATGTACTTTGAAAATGCACTAAATTTCACATTGATGTTTCTATAGACAACTTTTCTGGGGTCTTTATATCACCATTTGCAGCATTAAGTGGGGTGAAAATACTGGACTCTGGCCGAGAGGGGGACCTCAGCATCTGGTCTGCTGGGCCTGTCAGATAGAAGGGGGGCACAGCACAAAATCTGAGGGACCCTGGGTGTTTGTGCCATGGATTGTTTTAGAAAATTTGTGTCTGTTTCTTTTCTTTCTTCTTTTTCTTAATGTGCTTTTTCTTAAGACAGCCCCCTGCATTTGCTTAATGACAACCAGGGAATAGCAATAATGACAGGAGGACTGAGAAGCACATATTAAGGTGGTCAGACACTTGTAGCAGTTTCCCTTTCCACTTGTAGAAGGTCTCACGGGCACTAAATGTTACCAAACTCTGTAGCACAGTAGGGAACAGTACTGATGCCCTGCCTGGCTGCCCAGGAAGGCCCTGCGCTGCAGGTCCCAGCTGCAGCCCCAAGTCAGAAGCAGCATGAGTTTGCTGTCTGTGCGGTTGTCTCTCTTCTGCTTTTTAACATTTTTAACTTTTTGAAAAATTAATTAAGGAATTTGAGCTTTCTAAGGTTTGTCATTAAGGATAATTCAGTGATTTCAGTGGCATGTGAGACTTGAAATGGGTTAGATCTCTACAAAACAAGAAGCATCCAGCTAGCAGTCATTAATAGTGTATTTATTGCACTTATGCAGGCAGTTGCCAAAAGGCAATAATCCTTTTCTGGAACACTGTGTTCTGCCTCTAGTTTGCACATCTGTTGTATCTTTCTAGCCAAAAGGAAGTGGAAAGTTGTGAAAATATCAGGTGAGTTTTGGGCCAGTTGGATTGTTATTTCAAGTCACAAATTCACTGATTAACCCAGTATATGGCTGCTCTTGGGAAAAATTTAAAATATAAGATATTTATCAAGAATCTCAGCTTGTGTGTTAACTGCTTCTGAGTTCAGGAGGGAGCTCAGTCAGGTGGGCAGGCATCAGCTAAGGCACGGTCTGGACCAAGCTGTGAGAAGAGGCTGCCTTTGTCACGGCCCGCTTGGTCGGACAGAAGCCCTTCAGGGCCGGGACTTAGTGACAAAGGTCTCTGGAAGATCTGAGGGTCAAGGAGCGGACAGTGAGGTCACTTAGTGATTAGCAATAGCAGGAAACCCCTCCCACCCTTGAGGCTGGTGGAACGAAGCAGGGCTGGTGGGTGGGGGCACTGTTACCAGAGGCCCAGAGCTGGATCTGTGTGGAGGCTCCCAGAAGCATCTGGGACCATGGAGGGAAGGCCTCTCTGCGGGGAGCTGGAACCAACGGGGAGGAGAAGGCCGCCTTGGAGATTCCAGCCACATCAGAGAGAGGAAGGGCAAGAAATACTCTGGCTTCTTCCTCCCTTCCATCCTTCTACCTAAACCCAGCCAGAGCCCTTTGGCAAGTGAGTGTGGAAAAAGGAGGGGAGGGGAGGGAATGGATCAAGTCACCAACAGGCAAATGACCAGCACACAGACCTCAGGATGGCAGAGGGTTGTGGCAAGTTTTGTGCTGATCGGAGGCCACTGTAGCTTGAGAGATTCTTCTGGAGCCACAGAGGAAGCCTCCCCGGAAGGGCCAAGGAGCCCGAAGTGTAGGACTCACCCGGCTTTCCCCAGCTGTGCCCGGGGGCCCGTGGGTGTCAGGTTGCTGTGCTCCTCTGGTCCATGGGAAGCTCAGTGAGACCTGGGGGTGGTGGCCTTTCAGGGTGCAGGCCTCCTTGTTAGATTTCACACCACCATGTGAAGGCCCAGCAGCCGGCCTCTGACCAGGGCCCCCAAACCTCCCTTTACGTGGCCTCTGAGGCTCTAGGATGAGTACCGATATAGAGAAGGTCTGTATAAAAGGCTGCTTTCATGCCATCCCATCCTGGATGGCCACAGAGGCAACACTTTTCTGAGTCAGTCATATAAATCCTCAGCTGGTCTCTGTCTCCCTTCCAGTCACTCTGTTTAGAAAAATTACCCTTTTATCATCCCCATCGTCCTTGTCACTGTCCCCACGCGATCATCACAGACAACGAGCACACATGGAAGCAGAGCACGGTGATGCCTGCACGGGGTGAGGGGGGGAGGTAAGCAGGGTTCAGCTATTTGTAACAGTGACAATTTCCATTTATCCAACTGTTAATGTGTACTAGGCACTGTGTGAAGTGTTTTAAGAACAGCCACACAGCGATCTTCAAACCTTAGTGCGACTCAGAATCACCAACAGGGCTTCTTAGCTTCCTCTCCTCTGGCCTCCCCCTCGGTTATTCAGCAGGTCTGGGGGTGCCTGAGAACATGCATCTCTCACTAGCTTCCAGGTGGTGCTGGGGTTCCTCCTGGGATGCACTTTGAGAACCGCTGGATTAGTGCCTCAGCTCCTCGGGCAGGTGGTGTCATCTACACCCTGTGGCACAGGAACGGGGCTGAAACAGGCCGTGTCACTAGCTCAAGGCCCTGAGGCCAGGGATCTGCGGCAGGAGCTCACTGCTCGGGCTGGTGTTGGTGTTGCAGCCCAGGACCTGGCACGGGTCAGCCTGGACTGTCATTAGGCCTCTGGTGCTGCAGGCCCTGCTGGCTGCCGCCCTGGGCCAGGCCGCTGACCACCTGTGGACTTTGTGGTTTGGTCTGACAGCCCTTGTGGGTTTCTTAAACTTCATTCTGTGGTGAAACTGGATTGGTAGGTCACAGTTTTTAGAAAATTGGGCCCTGTTTGGATTGATCAGTGGGCTTTTTACCTTTTGGTGCAGATGGCCCTGCTGGCTGAGGCCAGTCGGATTGTCTGAGGCGGTGAGACTCGGAGGCGTTCAGGGAGGGACCCTCTGCACCCTCCTGGGCCCGTGGCCTGCGGAGTATGGTGTCCCCCTCCATGCTCAGACCTCTTCCCTCCCACCTCAGGGTATGGCCTATAGCCTGGCATTTTGTTTCACAACAGACCTGTGATATTAGTAATAATCAGTCTCTCATGTTGGTGGATACTGCAGCACTCCTGCTGACTCTCACCCCTGGTCTCAGACTCCTTACCAACAGACCACCTAATTTCCCAAGTCACCTATTGAGCGGAACAGCCCACAGGAAGACCTGGGGCTGGAAAGGTAAAAACGGTGGGATGGTGTGCGCGACACACCACCTCCTTCCCTATTGGATTTGCATCGCACATTAATTATTAACTCAGAGTATCTTTATTGTTCCATGTCCAGACTGCAAATGTGAATTTCAGCCATGTATTTTTAAACAGCTTTATTATGATCAAGCAATTTGAATATCTCATGTAGTTTATTACTAGGGGGCTTTGCTTATAAAGGAAAGGCTGTTTTATATGTGGTATCTGTTCTTTCCTTTTGGTACACTGCAGCCAAATTCTAAGGAGAACTGTGGGCTATTTTGCTATTTAACATTCTGTATATCAGACTTGCAGCAGCTTCCTCATGTTTCCTGTGCTGAAAGAGTGAGTTAAAACACTCCAAGTAGAGAAATCTATGTCCTGGGACATGAATTACATTAGAAAAATTGATGAATTTATAACAATACAGGTAATCTGGATAATAAAGATTTAACAACAGCTTTACTTGGCTGCAAATGCAATTAATGCTGCCTTCTGGAAAGAAAAGATATAAAATTATATTTTCTGTCACTTTAGGAACTGTTTCCAGAAGTATTCATGTATCAATTGCCCAATGAATAGTGGGCAATCTATCAGAAAATAACTGCTTGTGACCTTTTCTTTGAAAGACAGTTTTATTCAGATCCTGGTAAATTTGTACCTGCAGTTTTCCAGTTGTCTCTACAATATAGTATTGTATTTTATAGATTGGGTTTAATAATAGGAAATTTTCACCATCTTTCTTGTGGAATTTTTAAGTGGAAGCCAGGGTCCCTATAGTCCTACCTATCAGTTATTTATTGCCGCGTAGCAAACCTTTCCCAAACAGAGTGGCTCAGCGCTTGGCTCAGAAAGCTTCACTTTGTGCCCATCAGCTGCGCAGGTTCAGCGCGGGCGGGAGGGGCTCGAGAAGCCTCTTCCAGGACGGCCACTTGCCCAGCTGCGAGCCGGCACCAGCAGCAGACTGGGGGCTCGGCCGGGCGGGGGCGGGGGCGGGGAGCCCGGCCCCTGTCCCCGTAGACCCCCCGCGGGGCTGCTGGCCTTCCCTGTGCTGTGGTAGCCGGGCCCCCAGAGCCATCATCAGGAGAGCCAGGTGGGAAGCCGTGAGGCAGTCTTCACGGCTGCCTTGGTCTCCGCCGTCCTCCACCCATCAGCCCGGGTCGAAGGGCAGGGAGCCACAAACCACACCTGCGGGCTACAGGAGTGCGCAAGGGCTTGAGGACGCGCTTTGGTGCTGTCGCCGCGCAGGAGGAGCCTCTGACGAGCATGTGACTGGGGTTTCTGAAGGAGACTCCCCTCACTTCGGGCCCGCTGCCCGATTGGAGTCCATCTCGGCCCACTGGGTACGTGCTGACCGGGTTCATCAGGCGTGTGCTGTGGGGCCAGGGGGTGGACGGGCTTTCGCAAAGCTCGGCTGAGACAAGAAGACAGCAGGGACCGTAACAAGGTGGTGACAGTGAGTTGAGAGAATGTTCTGTTTCTTGTCTTTCTCTCTATGTTTAATTTTTTCAAGGATGGGGGACTTGAGCCAATACAAAGAACCAGTGTAAAAGTAAGGTGGTGGTGTTCTTGATCACCTACGTGACTCAGTTTCTCTTCCGGCTTCTGAAATGCGGGGATCCTGGCAGAGCGTGGTACACAGTAGATACCTGATGAACAATTGCTGCAGAACGAAGGCGCTCCGCCTGTAGGAAGATGTTCATGGGCGACCTCTTTCCTTCCCTGGCAGGGTGTGACCTTGGGTCTGCCATTCTGTTTCCCAGCAGAGCAGGGAAGTTCGAAATAAAAACCAGTCTCCCTGTTGATGCGCTCTGCAACCGTCTCAGGGACCCCCACCGGGATCTGTGTCTGTGACTTCCCCTTCCCCCAACCTCAGAGACCTCCCCAGCAAACCCTATCTCCCCAAATCACCCACTGACGCAAAACAGGCCGTGGGAAGACCCGGGCCGTGGAGGGCTGCACGGAGCCCCACAGGTGGCCGCAGGGACCATCTGCTGATGTAGTCAGACTCACTCTCTCTCTGAGCGTCAACTGGTCATCTGTAAAACGGTATGACACACACTTTGGATGGATGTCACATGATTGATCACTTCCAAAAAGCACTTTCTAAACTGTAAAAGCTGTTACCAGCAGAGCACTATACACATGTAAGGAACTGATGATTTGTAGTCTCATAGGTCCATGAGGGTGTTTACATTTTATTAGAAAACCTGTTTTTCTCTGTGGGCTATATCGTATCTGCTTCAGTCACTTTTCCATATTTTGACTTAGACACAAAATTGACCTGGACGTGTAAGCAGTTGAAAAATTATAGTGTTTTTTTTGCTTTAGGATCTATAGTTGTAAAAGACAGTATTACAGTAATGACATTATTCACTGTAGTCTTTTTTCTTTCTAAGGAGTAAAAACCACTGATTAAGAGTAAATAATGGGCCAGTGGCATTTCATCTGTGGAGTCACGTGTCTTGAGAAGCTACAGTTCCTGTGACACATGAGAAATGGTTGAAGACATTCCGGGAATTATTAGTGTGGTTAATGGTCTCAAGCATACAGCATGGAAAGAGTAATATAATCCAAGTCATAATTCATGCTAATTGCTGAATGAAAAGAATTTCATCATTAGTTCATTTCTTTTTTAATAATTTGCACATCTGTAGAGCTCTGTATACATTTAAATTATTGTTGCGATATGTGCATCTATAACTTTTTTCAGTGAGGCATCTCTTTCAGAGCCACTCAACTCGTTTCTAAACCAAACTTCTGCAAAGGATGAGATATGAGTTATGCATTTACCACCTAAGTTTTTCTGACCAATAGAGGAAGCATGTGTGTTTAAGTCATCATCTGTGTGGCGATTGTTTTGAAGTAGGGATCTAATTTTTTATTATTGTCTTTTCCAGATTTTAACCAGTTGCTTCAAAACCATTTTTTAGCTGTTTCTGAATTTTCTGTTCTTTTGCACCGATAGGCCTGTTTTTTATGGGTCCATCACTCAGTCACCGCACTTGATCCTTGTGCTTGGTGGGATGGGGTCTTGCCCTGTCCCGCAATAGCTTTTCTTTAAAAATTTTTTCTTACTTCTCACATATTTATTAATCCAGATGATATTCAGAATCATTTTTGACAGCTTCCAGAAAAAGCAAAATTCTGTTGGGATTTGAATGGATTGGTATTAAGCCCTTAAAGAGGTGAAATCTATATATTATTAAAATATGTTTTCCAGGAATGTGATATTTCTCTTTATTTATTCTGTTTTCCTTTATTATGATTGGTACTTTTTTGTTTTTTGGCAAATTTTTAATATTCAGGTCTAAGTAG